TAATCCATGTACATATAATTATTTACCTGATTTTGAAGGTGCTTATCGGCTAAAATCCGAAAAAATGATTTCCCATCTGGTGATAAGCTCTTCCATGCTTGATAGTTAGTCAAGAATATTTGAAGAATGATAACAATAATATCAATACTTCGTCTCTTTCCTAATACGTCCCTAGGTGACGGTGATGATGGTAATGGTGATGATGGCATCACTTTTTCCATAAGACCTGAACGATCTTACCGTTATCCTATAAAAAGCAAATTCATTGAGAATCAATTCATGGTAAGAATAATCAGACAAAAATTAAACTAAGATGGCGGATGCAGGAAAATTTCAGTAGAAAATTTTAGTTAAGGCAAAGATAGATATCTAATACCGAAAAATTATAATTTTAATTAAGAAAAAGAAAGTAGCATAGTCGTTCCTCTTTTCAGAGTCTATCGAAAAATTGTCACTGAAATTCCATAAAGCATACCAATACAAGTTGGTAAACGCAACCCCATCCGTCTAAAATCTTTACCCCACTATACTTACTTTTTTTTTTTTTTATTGTTTAGGAGTTCCTGAGCAACGTAACAAAGGTATGATGTGACTTCTTTTTCCTTTTTCTCTATCAATAACTGTTGAAACAAAATGCTGGAGTGACCACTTTTTACTGGGAAAGAAAAGGGTATTTTTCGTATGGAATGTTTTTGGTTTCTCGCTGATAAGCAATAGAGGTAGATAAAAAAGAATTATTAGAAAGTACGTTATTAAAAAATTTTACAGCGTTATTCATCAGGAACTACTTACCTAAGAAACAAAAAAATCTTTTTTTGATGCGAATATCGTTTGGTGGGTGTCGACTAATATATTGATGATTTCATTTTTAGCTAAATATGGTATGTCTTGTAACACACAAATGACCCATATATTTGGTGCCCTTTTTATTTTTAGATTTGAGTTTTTTCTAGCGGCGACAAAGATGGCAACAAATCAAAATAATAGTCCACTAAACAATAAAAATCCCGAACCTCTCATATTATCTTACCTGGTTCATAAAGGATATAAACAAACTGAGGCAATGTTCAGACAAGAATCTATAAGAAACCATTCAATGGATCAAAATAATATAGAAATTCCAACACCTAATTTTTTTAATTATTCTAATTATTCTGCTTATTCTAATATCAACCCAGATATATACAAACAAAGTTATTCTGGTCTAAAAGCTTGGATTGAGCAGTCATTGGATAAGTTTAAGGTAACATATTCGTTTAATTTGATTGATCAATTATTTAAATAATTACTAACATGATAATGAATCAAGGACGAACTACAAAGGGTTCTTTGGCCAATATTTGTAAATTCTTATCTTGAACTTGTATTAAAAGGATTTCCTGATCAAGGTTGGTGGTAATGATAAGATGCTTGTGGGATCATTTTGTTGGTTACTCTTCGTACCAACCATCCCCATGACATCTATAATCAATTAGCGACAGATTTCTTCAATGCTTATCAATCGGACCACGTAATTCACGTCAAAGAGCTCAATACAATGCGAGTGATAACACAACCGTATCATGTACATGAGAATGAATTTGCTCAAAATTTTCGTTCAAGGAAATATTTAGTAAAGATGTGTAAAACATCGTATGAAATATTTCTCGATTTTTTGCAAGTAGATAATAATAGTAGCTTCTTGTTAAGGCTCGTAAATCAATATCTAAATATTGAAGGTGTGTGATGATATATATAAATGATCCAAAAAATTCAAAAGAATTGATTTATTAACTTTCTTGTTTTAATAGTGAAAGCCGGAGGATTCGGAGTATCTCATACTGATATTGGAGCCCCTATTTATTCCTCATATGAACTTGATGAATACAATAAACAAGAAGTTCAATTGGGGTATATGCAAATGGATCCAGAGCTGCGTGAAGAGTTAGAAAGAGAATTAAGAGAGCAAGATGGAATCCGTCAAAGGCAAATCGAGGAAGCAAATCAGGTAAGAGCAAATGAAAATCAGGTAAATAATTATATGTACATGGATT